ATAATTCCCATAGTTTAGGGTCCTTAAGGTCATGCAGGATTTATATCATCAACCGTATGCCCTACATTCCTAAACCCCTAAACCCTGTGTGGTTTCGCGTGCGACTCCGGACTCCATGTGGACCAATCCGAAACGGTCCCTTCGCTGAGGAGTCCCTTACTTCGGGACTTTTCATAAAGATCAGTCGAGGGAGGAGGATTAGGAGTATATGGGAGTTTCCGAAAATGGGGGACCCTAATATGGTACCCTAAATAGTAGGATCCTTATTATAAGGACCCCAAAATAAGGTACCCCCATTTTCGGAAACTCCCATATAGTCACTGTAGGGTTTAGCATCGCTGTTTATAAGGCTTTGGTATTGTTTTGCTAGATCATGAGGTTTTATGGTATGTTAAGGGAGGCTTTGTCCATCTTGCAGTTAGTCTTCGTAGGGATGGGCCGTTTCTTGCCCTCAGAAATACCTGATTTAGTGCTCAAGCCCCTTAAACCGTAAAGCCCCAAACCCCTGAAGTAGGGCTCTTCAACTCAGGCCCCGCTAGGAAGGGGCGCTGGGACTTCAGAAGGAGGCGGCACATCGCGATCTACGAAGAAGCTCTCCCGAAAGTGCGGCGTACTATTCTGGGATATGGGAGTTTCCGAAAATTAGAGGTACCTTGTTTTGGGTCCTTATAATAAGGATCCTACTATTTGGGGTACTATATAAGGGTCCCCTATTTTGGAAGTTCCCATATGCTCACGTGGCCTGAATGAAAAAAGGCCGAAAGGGACTTTTGGGCTGAAGCAAACCAGTTATGGGTATAGAATAGAACCCTTTGAGACTTGCTTCGAGACTGTCAAAGTCCTAGCACAAGATGGACTGTCTCAGTCACAGTGACCCGGAAAGCTAAACAATATGAAATTAAGCAGGTCTGAAGGTTCGCGCGCCCTCAAGCGTGAAAACTGAACCAACTGCATCACTCAACCCTGCAACCCTGAACCCCAACCGCCTAAACCCGAAATCCCAAAACCATAAACCCTAAATCCCCAACCCCTAAACCACACCCAACCCTAAACTCCGTCAAAACCCAGAAACCTACCCTAAACCCTAAAATTAGACCCTAAGCCCTAATTTTAAACCCTACGCCCTAAACCGGGCTTCACTTGGTTTAAAGGGGCTTATAAGAGAACCTGAACCCTACAAAAAAGGGAATAAGGGCCCACTCCAGGTCCTAGTGAAGTTTACCTGGGTGAAGGGAGCTTGGCCTGGGTTCAGGGTGTGAGGCTCAGGGCCTCTAAACGCTCTGGAATTTAGGGTCTAGCAGTTTGGGGCAAAGTTTGGGGTGTTTAGGATCCCTTTAGCAGCTTTGGGTGTTTAGGGTGTAGGGGTTTAGGGGTTTAGAGTGGAATTTTGAGTGCTGAAAAGGCTTAACATGGCTTGCGATGTAGGGCTTGGGGGTTTAGTGTTACTGGGCTGTTCTCGGGGGCTCTCTAACATGGTGCCGTCTAACTGGACAGCAATATGGGAGTATTTAGAGTACGTACTATATTTTCGGAAACTCCCATATGTACCTCGACTTGAAAATGATTTCGGGAGGGGCCCTCAGTTCATGCTAAGCGTCCCTCAACAATCGCGCTACCGGGATCTTAGTTGCAACTACCCAGTACTTTAACAAGCGTTTCCAGTCGCTAAAGTCTGATGCGAGCACGGCACCTGAAACTCTTGGCCAGTGGTTCTGCCGTTATCCTAACCCTAAACCCTAACCCCCCAAAACCCTAAACCCCAAAACCCTAAAAACCCCAAACCCTAAACCGCTAAATCCTAAACTCTGCCCACTTGCGAGGATCTCGAAGCTGTGCCTGGGATGGTGTCGCATTCCGAGGTGGAAGCCCCAACCAGCTGAAAGAGCTGCCTGGGTAGTTTGGGGGGTGTCGGTTTAGAGTTCAGAGTGTCGGGCTTGGGGTTTACTTCGGTTTGGGTTAAGGAACATAAATTCTAGCTTATAGTAGTAGGATCCCTGACCTGATTTAAGGTATGCTCCTTATTTAAGGGATTTTGGAAGGTCTGGGCAGCCTAAACCCAATTGCTAAGCGGGTCAAAGGGTCAGACTCCAGAAGACAGCTAAACTTATAGCAGGATCCCTACTGTGAGATTGAAACTCTTGCCGAGCTCAGCGAAAGCCATATCTTTGCGGGTACAGTAGAAGCCACAAAGTTGGAATATCCTTATCGTAACCCCTTTAAGGTAAATTATAGGGGATCCTACCATCAATCCATATTCCAACTTTCTGGAGTTCCCTTTATTCTTGGTTAGGGTTTAGGGCTTGTCGGATCTTCTCCTCTTCTTTGCAAGCATTGCAAAATGCTGACTCCATGCTGTTGGCACGGTCCTCAGACAAATGCCCGAAGACCCCACGCCCCACACCCTGAACCCTCAACACCAAACTTAAACCTCAAACCCTAAACCCACTGGACTTTGAAGTAACCAGGGGGAAAAATATAGACTTTTATTTCATAATAGGTTCCCCTTAAGTACCAGGTCTCCAAAAAAATTGAAGTATGGTCCTCCACCAAAGCCCAGCCCTACAACCCTTTCAACCATGAGCACTCACTCCGTATCCTAAACCCTAGAAGCATTGGGATGTTTCAGAAGATCTGGAGGCGTGCAGGCCAGCTTGAAAGTCTCAGGCTTAAAATGAATCATGGGTTTCGGGTTTTTTTAAGTGTGTCGGACTTTCTCCCGCAAGCGATCGGGTTTCGGGTTTAGGGCATGGGGTTTTAGGGTTTCAGATTTAAGGTTCCGGGTTTTAGGATTTAGGGTTTGTGGTTTTAGGGCACAGGGCTTTAACCTACACCAGACATAAATCCAAATCCCTAAAGCCAAACCGTAACTTCAGGGGTTTGGTTCAGGGTTATATAATGGGTATGCTAATGTACATTAGAACTCCAATTACTATTAAGGAACCCTAAAATCGTATTGATAGTTATGCGGGCCCCTAAAACCTAACCCCTAAACCCAAAAGGTTTGTGGCTCTTGAAAGTATTTAAAACTATTGGCTTCAAACATTCCTTGGGCTCAACGGTGTGCACGTCGCTCACGCCTTAATGATTAGAATAGCGTTCCCCTTTAAAGGGATCCTTAAGGGGGTCTATAAGGAATCTGTAGTAGGGTTCTATAATATAGAGGCTTCAATAATAGGGTTCTGGGGCCAATTATACGATTGCTATAATAAGGAACAGCCACAATAGTAGTTTAGGCCCGTATAGTACAGGGATTCGGGTTAGGGTTTATAGGGTCCAGCCTAAAGTTGCTCATAACTTGTACTACAGGTCTGCACGTATGACTCTACTTAAAGTCTCGCTTATCCCCCCAGCCCATGTAACCCTTCAGTCTCAAAAACTTGAATCGGCATCCCCCAAAAAATCTGCCTTCCCTGCTCTTATCCAGCGCAGCCGGGTGGTTCAAGGAGTTCGACATTGGGCTTTCGAGACCCTAAACCCGAAAAAACCTTACAGTCTCTGAACAACCGAAGCTTAAGGTTTGCTGCTGAATTGGAGGGCTTTGAAAACATGGAAGACTCCCCTTATCAAGAAGGGCTTTGGGTTGTTGGGCAAAGCTCCAGACTCAGGAGGAATTCTAATTAGAATAGGGTTTTGGGGTGCATGATACTATGACATATAATAAAGAACCTCTCAAAATAGTACAGCTAACTATTACGGCCCCTATAGTAATTCTTCCCGCCCTATTGCTCTGAGCTTTTTCACCTCCGCGGCCTGACTGCGCATGCAATCCGGGGGATTCAGAGCACAGGGTTTAGGGCTTAAAGGGTTTAGGGTTTAGGGTTTAAGGTTTAGGGGTTTAGGGTTTAGGGTTTAGGGGTTTAGGGTTTAGGGTTTAGGGTTTAGGGGTTTAGGGTTTAGGGTTTAGGGTTTAGGGGTTTAGGGTCAGTGATCTGAATAAGAAGCTTTTCCTGCATAGGATCTCTATCTTTATTCAAAGGGGAACAGGAGGGACCCTTAATGGGGACCCCTACCCTATAATGGGCTATATAATGGGTATATAATAGCTATATTATGGGTATATACCTAGGGGTCCTTATTAAGGGTCCCTCCTTTTACCCTTGGATTTATCAGCGTCCCTTGCTCTGTGGAACTCCTACTAGTCCCAAAGGGTCCTAGGTACTGTTATGGGGAATACTTCAAAGGTTTTTTCCTTTAAGGGATCTATAGGGGTCCCTTTAAGGGATCTATAGGGGTGCTGTTATGGGGAATACTTCCCCAAATCATATGAGTAAGTCCTAATATTAGACACCCTACATTCTACTATATAGGTACTTTGGACCCTTCGGGATATATCGGTAAAAGCTTCAGAGACAATGTTCAGAGACGGGCTAGCTTGCAAGACCCGGTCTCCATCTGGAAAAGCCGTGCCGCAAAATCCTAAACCCTAAGCCCTAAATTAGGGTCCCTTTTTGGGTACCCTAAATATTAGGTGCCGTACTATATGGGAGTTTCCGAAAATTAGGGGTACCTTATTTTGGGGTCCATATAATAAGGATCCTATTATTAAGGGTACTATATTATGGTCCCCTATCTTCGGAAACTCCCATATGAGTGACCCAAAAAGGGACCATCATGTTGACAACCACTCATCTGGAAAAGCCGCGCCGCGGGATCTTAAACCCTGACCCCAAAAATCAACTCTGACTCTAGACCTGAAGCCCTATAGACTTAACCTTCAAGCCCTCTAAGTATGGGGTTTGGGAGCACCAGAAGACCAAAGGCCCGTAAAAGGAGGGACCCTTAATAAGGACCCCTAGCCCTACAGTAGAAGCCAGAAAGTTGGAATATCATTATCGTAACCCCTTTAAGGTAAATTATAGGAGATCCTACCATTAATCCATATTCCAACTTTCTGGAGTTCCCTTTAGACTTAACCTTCGAGCCTATAAACCCTGTAACTTAACATACTCCCCTAAACCCAAACCCAACAGTGGATCGGGATTTGCCGAAACTTCGAATTTCTAGCGCCCACAAAGGCGCTTGCAGCTCCACCAAAACCAGGGTGGCCGGCGATAGTGTCGACGACATCGAGGAGGGCAGCGTCTGCGATAGTAAGGCCGGTAATACGGCAAAGGCACGGTGGTTGTCGTGGTCGAGGAGGTCCCATTGCACCCAAAGATCCTCACGAACACACTTAAGGGTTTAGGGTTTAGGGTCCCTTTTGGGTACCTAGTATAATACGGCACCTAATATTCATGGTACACAAAAAAAGGAGCCTTATTTTGGCACCCACTTGAAACACCAAACGACCTACAGCCTCAACCTGAAAAGTCGAGGTCGCACTGCATCCAAAAATCCTTCCGACACTCTGGTACTCGGTGTTGGGTATGACTGGTATCCACTCTGCAAGAGCAAGCGAAGTCGCCGATATCCTTGATTGTTTCTCTGTTGTGTCCAATATGTTGAGCTTTCGTAATGCCATGTCTCACTCTTGGTTCTGGTGAATAGAAGGCACACAAATTATCTTGATCTGGTTGTCCGTCTATCTGTCTATCTGTCTGTCTCTCCGTCTGTCTTTCTGCCTGTCCATCTGTCTATCTGTCTGTCTATCTCATAGGTCTCTCTGTCTATCTATCTATCGGCGATCTTTCTTGCTTTCTACCTATTACCTGTCAATCGGTCTGCCTATCCATTTATCTACTTGTCTATCTACCTATCTAACTGTTATGTTCTCTGAATATCTAGCTGTCGAGCTATCTGCTCTCAGCTATCCAGCAATGCAGCTTTCTATCCAATTATCGATCGATCTATCTGTCTGTCTATGTATCAAGCCATCCCTGTTGCGGTATCTGAAACTGAGTTCCCTAACAAGAACCCAGTATCGATGCGCTCGTAGTACTAACGGCATCGGGATCCGATTCGTTGAAGGACTGAACCTCGGCCCACGTTCCGTTGGGAGTCACCTCCAGGATGATTTATTTAGGGATTCAGGGTTTTACTGCTTCAGAGGGTTGTACTAGGGTTGCGGGTTTTAGGGCTTTAGGGTTTTACAAGCAGGTTAGGGCTGCAGGGTCTAACTTCCAGTGTTTGGGGCGGCTTTAGGGCTTTGAGGGTCTATAATCTATAACCCAGAGGGTCCATATGTACCACAATTGCTGTAAGTATGGAAGTAAGTCCCACAAGGCCATCTTCACCTGGTTTTGGGGACCTCATTGCATAATGAAAACTGAAATAACAATAATAACAATAATATATGTATATACATCTATATATATATATCTATATATATATGGGCACTCTTGGTAAGCCTCGAGGATGGTGACCCCTGCGCAGCCCAGCGCACCCGCGCAATTCACGACGGCCCTTGCGGAGGATGAGATGCCGAAGATCGATGCCGGTTGTGTCTTGGCTGGCTGAGAACCCCTGCGAGCCTACATATACAGTACGTATCATACACAGTATAGAAGGAGACCCGCATAACTAAAGTCCGAAAGATTCAAATTAAAGAGTTCAGCCTTCTCAGTCTTCCCGAAATCTTGAAACCTGAAAACAACACATCTGAAAAAAAAAACATGTAAACAAACACCGTAGAAGAATAACAACATAAACTCAGCTGCCACGGCTCAACGTCGTTGCTGATCCGGAAAACTTCGGGCCAAAGCCCTCCTTGATCTTCGTAGATCACCGTCACTGATTCAAGGGCCGTGCCTGATAGGAAAATCCAGCCGGCGATGATGTAGTTTCCTTTTGCAGGATGTATATGGGCTGTAGAGGGGCTATATAGGGATTTGGATAATTTTCCAGATCAGGCTCCCGTTTTAGGCCCCAAAATACTACGGCACCCTTATAAAACGTGACCCTAATTTAGAGAACCACCCCTTCGTCTAGGACCCTTATAACACACGCCAGAAGCCCAGTCTCCGTCCACGTCCAAGCCGAGGCCCCCTACTGGGGGGCCGGCGGGGGCGGAGATGTTTGCCACGTTTGACCACAAGCTGCCGGCCCACTGGTAGACGGAGAGTTGCACAACAGGGCTCCTCGTTCATGGTTAGGGTAGTTTCAACAACTATCACTTCAATTCCTGCTTATCGAGTTGACCTAGACCCCCAACAGTAGGTAAAATCATGGCCCAAAAGCTATAAAAAGGCTATTGTTCTGCATACTTTTGGGGTCCAGGTAGGTACCAAAAAGTCAAAATGTTACCCAGGTGTGACAAAGGTTCCTTTCTTCAACAGTCAGAGTCCTCCCATCGGTCGCGAATCTGACGGTGTCGAGCTGAAGCTCTGCGGTGGGCACAAGTGTCCAAACGGATCCTTGCCTAGGGGTTCCCCAGTGTCGCCTCAAAAACCAGAGTACCGTTTCCTGGTATTCAGCTTTAATATAAAAAGGGAGCCCTAAACCCTAAACCCTAAACCCTAAACCCTAAACACGTACCAAAACCTACTTACTAAGTCCCCCGACCTTCCAAGTACTGATGAACCAAGTTGCAACTGGAAAGTCTGGAAAGTCCCTGAGTTCAGAATGACCAATAAGTCTCCTCCAAGAGCCATGGTCACACTGCGAATGCCCGGAAAGGATTGCCGTCCCAAGAAAACCCATGAGGCCCCGTCGTACTTGAAGGTGTGCGTGGTGCTCGTAAGACTCACGATGCTCAAGGCCACGACGATCTTCTCACTACTCAGGGCCGTGTTCGTTGCCCAATCGTACGGCAAGGTCACGTTCTGACTTGCTACTTCTGTGAGGTTCGCCTGCAACTCCCATCCTCCAAAGTCCGAGCAAATGCTGTTGTTGAAAACTAGAACATCACCGGGGACCGTTCCCGTCTTAGGCGACCACGCCAGAAGGTTCACATCATCTTCGGAGCCTGTCGACACCTGTGCTCCCGAAAGGCTGCCCGAGAAGTTCAGCGCAGTCACGCGCAACCTAGATCATGGTTGGGCTAGGATTATAAAAATTGGGCTAGGGTAAAAACATCATGATATTCCTCATTGAGTTTAAGTACCCATAAGAGTGTAAAATGTTACCCAACTGTGACCAAGCAACTGCTGCGTCCAGTCAGCGCTGGAAGAGCAGTCGGGGCCCTGGGTGGTATCGAGGTGACGCGCTGCCATGAACTGCAACATGCAACTCGTGTCCTTACTCCCCCAAAAAGCCACATAAATAAAAGGTTAAGCTTTCCGATTCCTACTCAACTGTAAGAACCCAAAAAGTTTAAAGGTTGAGTATTGCGGATCTAAGTATCAGGAGAGTTTGGAGCACTTTGGCTCCAAACTCGCCCCAGCATGCACAAGGCCCAAAAGCTCCACATGGCCCTGAAGCCGTGCCACATTGGGCAACGCCTTCAAAACTCAGTCAATGGCCCAGCTCAAGCAGAAATCACAGAACAACCCATTATGGCTCGATGTGCCGATCCAGTATATACCTCGGGCTTAAATGGGCTCCTTGTTCTCGGGTCTTTCATAAATACAAGTATAAATATAAGTATGTACACACACACACAGTATGCACATGGAGCCTTAAGGAACAGATCAAATGCAAAGCGCAAAAGCCTTGAGTGCAGCAGGACATAAACCTTGTTTCCGAGGGGAACCGGAGGGACCCTCAATAAGGACCCCTAGGTAATATACCCTTAATATAGCCATTATATACCCATTATATAGCCCATTATAGGGTAGGGGTCCCCATCAAGGGTCCCTCCTTTTCCGCTTTGATAGTTGGGATCAGGAGACAGGGGGTCCAGCTTGTTAAGGTTTAGTCAACGATGGCAAAAGTATCATGGCAGGGCGGAAAAAGCTCCGATGTGAGCTTTTCGAAAGACGCAGTTCCAAAAATGCCTGAAGTCGTACACCTTGAACCGCAACAGATTGAGCACTCAAACACCCCTAAACCTGTAGGAACCAGGACAGCAAGACCATTCTGCCTATAGTGTGGCATACACTGTAACAGTGTGGGGATTGCATGTCTCCAAGATCATACTGTGGTTCGTGAACGAGCTCAGCTCTCGAAATATCGTCAATTTCACATGGGTAAATGACACGTTGGCACCCCACATAAGTTCCCTAAACCCTAAACCCTAAACCTGCTGCAAAACCCTAAACCCTAAACCGGGTATAAGTCGCACTGCAGGGCAGTGGGAGATGTTTGGGGCCAGCTACAGGACCTTGTCATCACCAGGCCACTACCCCAAGGGTCCAAGTACCTAATAATCATACACTCTCCGAAATCCTAACCTACATAACTACTATCCTAAAACCGAGTACCTGATTATTGGGTCCTTTGGACCCTTGGGGCTAGACCCAAATCCTCTAAGCCCAATTTAGGTGCTCGGGGACGTGGTTACCTTGGCAGGGATATTAGCAGATGTGACTCTACCCTACAGTCTCCATTGTAGTTCCTTTTTGGGGTTACCTTATAGGATCCTTAACATATATAATTGGTTAACTCACAAAAAGGAACTACAATGGAGACTACAGGTACCCTGAGGGTCCTAACAAATAGGGGAACCCCCCCAAAAAAATTGGGGGTTTCTGACAAAGAGACCCCAGGGCTCTTCTTAGGACATTCCGGACCCTCCTGAAGAGATACCTGCTTGGAGGGTCGGGGGACTTAGTAAGTAGGTAATAAGTAGAGTTATAAGTACCCTAAAAGGGATCCCAATTGGGGTTATGGTACTTATAACTCTCTAAAATAACTACTTAGTAAGTCCCCCGACCCTCCAAGTGGACCCTTAGGGTACTATATAGCCCGAATGAACAGAACCCTTGATGGTCTGAGTCTAGACCTTATATTCTCCAAACCCGAAACCTAGTGTAGCGGCCATCACAATTAGAACAAGGGTTTGGGTGCCCATTCTACTCTAATCATAATAAGGAACCCCCAAAACAGTATATATAGGTAATTATTAGCCATAACAATCAGCGCCCAGTCTACTCTAATCATAATAAGGAACCCCCAAAACAGTATAGGTAACTATTAAGGCCCCTTTCCTACTTCCACGGTCCCCATGCAAGCCAGGTCCCCAGCTGTGCCAGCTTCAGATGCTCCTGTGAGTTCGTCACCTCTCGTGCGACATGGACCCTCTAAACCCTAAACCCCCAAGGCCCCGCAACCCCGACTCGTATCTCCTGGACCAGAGACTCCAATACCGGCCAATACCCCTTAATTGGGAAATATACCTTAAATAACAATACGGATCCTACTATATTCAGGTATATTCCTTGATTCAAGGATATTTGGGTCGCTGGGAACAGTAAGCCCGAAACCCAAGTTGCGATGGTCAAGGGTAGGGCTTTTAGGGATTTGTCAGACCGTAGGATTCCCGAGCATCTATAAAATACAGAGCAAGCACCTTGAAGACGATCCTCTGGCTCTATGAGTGCTGATCAGACTGAAAGCCGAAATCTCACTATGTTATAGATATGTTGCTGATGGACAAGATCCTGCGTTATCCGTCTAGAACAAGGACTCTGCCATAATACCCGATCGCTTGTCGCATGCTCCATAAATTTCTGGTACTTCTTTACTCCCATGATGTACGGCACTTAACTAAATATGAGAAGAACAGGACCAATAATACTATCAACAATCAAATATGCCGGCCTTAGAACAGGACGTATAATACTATCAAAAATTAAGAATCAAAAATGCCTAAGGGGCCAAGGAAGATGAGACGTTTTGCCCTGGCGATAAACTACCCGATGCCACAATACAAGCCCGAAGCCGGTTTAGGGTTTAGAGTTTAGGGTTTAGGGTTTAGGGCTTAGGGTTTTTGAGGGTTTAGGGCTTGGGCCTGAAGCGCACATCGGTTAGTTCATTTGAATGTATCCCGTTATAGTCCCAGAACAGGCTCGCTAGAGTTAGATACTATGACTATATGGGGACTACAATAGAATTAGTCTGACCCCTGTACTGTACTACCCAAACGATCAGGCTTGCAGGCATAGGACACGTATCCTTATCTGAATGTTATCCTACTTGTAGCCTTACCTTAACCTGCCACAACCTAACTTTTTTGTCGGGTGCTTATAAAATCCATATTAGGGTTTATAATCAGAACCTACACAACAGTAGGGTTTGGTAGTTGACGGTAGACAGCCGACTCTTGAAGCAAGCCAAGCACTGATATTCAGATTGAACTTCCATACCGGAAGCTCTATATGGGAGTTCCCGAAAGCAGGCGTACCTTATTGTGGGGTCCTTATGATAAGGATCCTACTACTCAGGGTACTATATTGGGGGGTCCCCTATTGCCGGAAGCTCTAAAGTCAACCTACTACAAACCATATCGAGGCACACCAATACAAGGGCCTTCCTGGTTCGAGTTTAGGTTTGGGGATGGATACTGGACTTGTGAAAAGGAACCCTGCAGAATAATATCCTCTCTTCTCCAATAACCAGGCCCCAAAAAAGTTCAGACTTTGTAAGATAGACCAACTACATAAAGGAAACAAGTTTAAAGTTCTCCAATTGGCTAAGTAAGTATCTTTAGTCTTTATTCAGGGTCCAAGCCTAAACTCCCCAACCCCAGATCCCTGAACACCCAAAAAAAGCTTGCCGGAGGGGGGAAGAGATGGCGGGTGGGAACGTTTCCGTTCGGCCGGACCCAGAGAACCCAATATCCCGTAATTGAGGAAGACACCTTAAATCATAATGAGAAGCCCCTTATAATTCAAGGTATAATCCTTAATTAAGGGGTATTGGGATCTCTGAGGAGTGCACCCCAGGCCATCCACTCTCTCACTCAAACAATTAGAGCCGGAGGCCTGGCCCAGAGCAGCAAAGACGACACCCTTCAGGATGTACCTAGAAGTTTAGGGGTTAAGGGGTTTAGGGTTTAGGTGTTAGGGTTTAGGGATTTAAGGGTTCAGGGATTTAGGGGTTTAGGGATTTAGGGTTTAAGGTTTAGGGGTTTAGAGTTTAGGGTGAGGGTAAAGGACTTTGGACGTATGGACTTAGGGTGTCTGGGTTCAGAGGATTGAAGGACTTAGGGTTTAGCAGGGTTGAGTAGGGGCTACAAGGGTCCTAGCCACTAGCCTGACCGCTAGGTACCTGGCCTTTGGGATACAATGTCTTACAGGCTAGTGTTTTGGAGCAATACATGATAACTAGTTACTAGTTTAACGCTAAACCGGCTAGAGTTTTTGACTCAGGGTTTGAAGGCTCAAAGGGGTTGAAGGTTTGCCGACATGAGTCTCCCAGTGTCTTTCAGGAGGTGACACCCCGAGCGCCAGACTCTACACCCCATCCCTGAACTGTAAACCCTGATACCGAAAGCCTAAACCCCAAGAAACCCAAGAGTAACCCAGGAATAAAAAGGATGCCTTTTTCGGTTTAAAGGGGCCTATAAGGGAACTTGAACACACAAGTAAACAAGGGAATAAGGGCCTACGCTAGGTCGCAGACCCTAAATCCTAAGCCTGCAACCCCCAAGCCCAGAACTCTGATTTGACCAGAGTTTGGTGTGTACGGGCTTGCAGTGGAGGCATTTGAGAGTCACTTCAAGGGATTCGGGTCACTCGAAAACACTGGAAAAGCACTAAGACAAGACGTCCTTATCAGTAGGGAGCCGGTGCGTGCACTTCTATAGTCTTTGGCCGATGAGGGCTTCAAACTCCTTGATGAACTCCACGTGCCCATTCAGCATTGATGATAGGTTGCGGGTCTTGGCACGCTCCTTGTTGTAGTTGATGAAGATCTCCAACTGCTTGGTGGTGAGGGTGTCCAGCCACTTTGGCACGCATTGATTCTTGAGTTACAGCGCTTCGACAATCTGGGACGGGTCGCCCTCCAAAGGCGACGGCATCATCACCAAAGCGTACTCTGCTTCCTTCTCAGGCTCGGCGATTTCTTGCACCTGCTGCACCTTTGGGCTTGGAACTCCAAAAGGTGGCCATCATGAAGTCCTAGGACGGAAAGAGTCTTCCTGGGGCTCAACCCTTCAAGGCGTTGTGAGGTTGCTTTCTTCTAGGGGTTTTACGGTTTCCCTTGGGGCCGATTAGGGTTTCGGGGTTTAGGGTTGAGGCTTAGGCCAGTTTTGAGGACACGTGGTTTCATTGGGTGGTATGCTCTCTGGGGAAGGAATGAGGCTTACATCAGGGGTAAGCTTTAGGGTTTCCGCGTTCCGCGCCCTAAACCCTAAGCTTTGAACCCTATAAACCCCCCAACCTGAACCTCCAAAGCCATACCCTTGAATCCCGAAAGCTCTGAACTCTAGACCTGAAGCCCTAAACCTGCACCCGTCAAGTGCAAGTTACCTTAACCTACCAGAACCTACTTTTTTGTAGGGTCCCTAAAAATCCCAGAGTAGGGATTATAATAAGGACCTACAAA